TGTGGCTCAGTGGATAGAGCGTCGGCCTGCAGACTGAAGGGTCCCGGGTTGGATTCCCCATCAGGGCACATGCCTGGGTTGTGGGCTCGGTCCCCAGTAGGGAGTGTGCAGGAGGCAGCCGATCCATGATTCTCTCTCATCATTGATGTTTCTATCTCCCTCTCTGAAATCAATACAAATAATTTAAAAAATAAAAATACAATAGATAAAAGGCAGTGCTGAGGGAGCACCCCGGTGTCCCGCAGCCCCTCGGGTGGCTCCTGGCCGAGCTGCAGTGGAGACACATTAGCGCGCTCTGCAGCCAGGAACCGTCGTCGCTTTGTCGCCAGGTGCTAGGAAGCTGAGTTTCCTCCTGGCTGGTGGCCCAGGGGACACCCTGCCTTCCTTCCTGCCCGGGAAGTGCTCTCAGTGCAAACCAGCTGCACACACGTGGCTGCGTGTGTCCTGTGAATGAGGGTCCGCTGAGGCTTCTTTCAAAAGCTCCACCCATTTTATTTGGGGACTCGGGTCTCCAGGTGAGGGGTGCGGACAGCACCTGCTGGTGTGACATCAGTACGGCCCGTCCAGCCGCGTGGGAGGGTACCCCAGCCCAGGTCAGCGCTCCGCAGGGATGCAGGGGCCCGGATGGGCTGAGGGGTCAGGAGTGAGCCTCTGTGCTGATGGAGGCGGACAGTCCCGGGACCTGCAGGCCGCCAGCGGGGGACTTACGGGTGATGGGGGAGGTGCGGTCCGAGGGCCAGCAGGCGGAGACCCAGGGGAGCCTGCGTTTCGGGTCAAGTTTGAAGGCAGGAATGACCACGGGAACCTAGCGCTTTGGTCTGTGGGCCGGGCAGGACTTGAGCCCCCGAGGTGATGGCTGGGAGGGAGCTCAGCCCACGGACAGACGGACGGGGAGAAGCGAGCGTTGAGGCTGCTGGACTGACCCCTGTTCCACGTGGGATGGTTCCAGCAAGTCTGCAGGGAATGGGCTGCGGGGGAGGAGCGGAGAGGAGGAAGGGGAGGGAGAGGAGGGGAGGGGGGGGGGAGGGAGGAGGAACCATCACAGGACCCGGCCTTCACCTGGGCCTAGGCGTTCGGTCCAGCGTCGCTTACAGCTGTCAGAGTAAACGGCATCTCCTTAGTGTTTCTCCAAACGACACTGAGGGGACCACCTGGGAGCCCGCGGGCTGAAGGTGTGGCTTCCGCCTCCGTGAGGTCATGTGCAAGCCCTAAGGGGCGTCTCTGTTCTGCCTGCGGCTGCTTCTAGCGTTTTCATGGCTTCCTGTCTCACGCTGAAGCCCTTCATCCACTTCGCGAGTGTATTCTTGCGCGTGGTGCACGTTGGTGGCCTAGTTTCATTGTTTTGCCTGCACCTGCCCCATTTTCCAGCACCATTTCCTGAAGAGACTGACTCCATTGGACGCGGACAATAGGGTGGTGAAGGCCTGGGTGGGGGCGGGGAGTATAAGAAGTCAATAGGACAGTGGTTCTCAACCTTCCTAACGCCACGACCCTTTAATACAGCTCCTCATGCTGTGGTGACCCCCAACCATGAAATTATTTTCGTTGCTACTTCATAACTGTAATTTTGCTACTGTGATGAATCGTCATATAAATATCTGATATGCAGGCTGTATTTTCATTGTTACAAATTGAACATAATTAAAGCATAGCGATGAATCACAAAAGCAATATGTAATTATAGATGTGTTTTCCGATGGTCTTAGGTGACCAATCCCTGTGAAAGGGTCGTTCGACCCCCAAAGGGGTCGCGACCCACAGGTTGGCGACCCACAGGTTGGAAACCGCTGTAATAGGGAGAAAGGGGACATATGTAATACTTTCAACAAGAAAGATTTTTCAAAAAAGAACATTTGTGTTTAAACCGAGCCCACTCCCAGAGGAGAGGCCTGGGTGCATTAGGGGAGGTGCCTGTCAGCTTTTCAGGGGGACGTGGGTTTGTAGCGGGAAGCACTCGGGGTCCCAGACAGATGAGCATGTTCTCCACCCACCGTCCGGACTGATCGCGCATGGGAAAGTGAGGTCTGGGCCTTGCACGTAGGATGCGTGATACTCGTGTTGGTGCGAACTCCGAGGACGACCGTTCGAACTTCCCTTCTCTCTCGTTGG